GTAGTACCTCCCGTGGAGCTCCTTCTCCTTCCATACGGTCTCCCGGTCGGAAATGCTTTGTACTGCCGGGTCCTGCCATTGATCGTTGGCTAAGGATAGAGGGGTAAGCCCTTTATCACTAGAAATGACGTCATGCGAGCGTCATTATAGAATGGATCATCCGATCTCGCCAGGAAGTAATCATGGAGGCTGCACACTTCGCGATTATGAATGGTGAGCGCGCTCAGGAAGCCACGCCCACCATGATTTAGCGGCAAGTACAGCCTCATTACCGACGATCTCGGATGATGCATCCTATGGGACGTCATTGTAGTGCGGACTTTTCTATCCAGGGCGTTAAGTTTAGTCTGAGTCCACCTGAGTATGCCAAAGGTATACATGAGGACGGGCATGACCCAGCCGCTATATGCGTGTGCCTTATTCACACTGGACAAAAGGCTGTTAAGTACTTTGGTCATGCGAGCGTAAAACATGTCTGTGACATACCCAGGTATCGGTATGTTTCAGCCTCGGAAAGGGTTCTTAAGTTGACGGGCATAGATAAGTTTATGCCCTCAGAGTCAGCAACCCTTCCCATTTCAATATGAGGACCGCACACTTATCCGACCCCAGCTCCATTCCAATAGAATTGCTAAATTCACAAGAGATGTTTAGCAAATTCCATAAGATGGAAGCGACTGCAGGCGAATAATTTGAGGTCATCCATATAGAAAAGGTGGGTCACTTTTGTACCTCCTTTCCGAAGCTGAAATCCCCTCCCGGAGCCCTCCAGTAAAGCACTGAGAAGGGTTCAAAGAGAGACAGAACCAGATTGGACTCAGACAGTTGCCCTGGAATATACCCAGTCTTATCCTTATTCGGCATTCTGCAGCCGTCATTCGCTCGCCTAGATAATAAATGATCGTACTGCACTGCCCCATACACTGCCTGAGGAAGTCTCGAACTGTACAGTCAATCTTGTACACCTCGAGGACCGTCTTTAGCCATGTATGGGGCACCGAGTCAAATGCCTTTCTGTAGTCTATCCAGGCGACGGAGAAGTTCCGACGGTTGCGTTTTCCCACTTTGCCAATGACCGCGTCAATGAGGAGTGGTTCCCTGGTTCCACGACCACCGCCCCGACATCCATTTTGAGCGCGCGACATCACCTGATTTGAGTCCAGGTGACGAGTGATTCTCGCACTCAAAATGGATGTTAGTGTCTTGTATATGGTCGATAGACACGTGATGGGGCGGTATTTGCCCCGTTCTGTGGTACCCTGGTCTTTAGGAACCAAATGAGTGATCCCAGTAGTAAAGAGGCTTGGGAGCGACTTCTGGTTGAGAGCCTCTTGAAACTATAGGGCGAGCACAGCGTGACACACCATGAACCCCTTCAGCAAGTAGTGATGCAGACCGTCAAGCCCCGGACTTTTCCAGTTCAGGGCCCTACGGACCGCCTCAGCTACGTCATCCGGCGTTATGATGACGGGGTCCATGGACGTTATACCCGCACACTGACTCGCCACAACTTTCGTCCGGGCCCTCTCTGTGGTTTACGGGCTCTGACCACAGGCTGCGCCAGAATGCGACCGTATCGGCCTGATTCGGTGCTGGGCCGTTCCACTTACCATTGGTCGCTCCAATGATTTATAAAGCCTCTTCTGATCACTCTGGAAGAGACGATTCTGGTTTAACCGTATTGACCTCTCGGTATATCGCCGAATCCGCTTTCCCCAAGCAGCGATTCTCTGCTTCAGGTCGTCTATGCGCTCCGTCAGTTTTTGCATTATATCCGGCTGGGACAAACTAACATTTGTCCCCTCAAACGACATCCTGACGGTGCGCACAATCCTTGGCCTGGTATTGCCTTACCTGAAGCATATCAGTCTGCCGATAGAGGGCCCTAGCCTTTGCGATACGTTCTTCAATTCTTATTCTCCAGGCTGGAATAGCACTACTTTGTCCAGTAGCGCGTCCAGCCGTGGATAGTTTGGCGCTTATAATACGGCAGACTGCCAGTGCGGCACCAAAAAGAATTGAGTCCGTCTCGCAAAGGTCCCGGCTGTGTTCCAAATAGATCACCAGCATTGGGTTCGGAGCCCTCACGACAGCCCGATTCCGCTTGCTTAGGGCTATGCGGAGGAAGTCGCGGTCGATTTTCGAGAGGCGTACTGCGCGTTTCCACAATCGCCTCTTCCAATATACTCCTCTTATTATTATCTCTCTTATTCTCTCTCATTATTATTATTATTATTATTTTGGGGTATCTATATAATTTTCTCACCTGGTTGGGTTCTATAAATATATAATTATAAATGTTAGTATTATGGTTGGGGTATCTATATAATTTTCTCACCTGGTTGGGTTCTACATATATATAATTATAAATTAAAATGAAAAGATAAATGTACATAAATATCAATAAAATAAAATAAATACAAAAACTACATAAATAAATAAGATCCAACCAGATGGGAGCCCTCGGCAGGGGAGACCAGACGGCCGAGGGTTAGGGGGAAAGGGAAAGAAACCGGCGGACGATGCGAGCGGTATCGATGAGCACCGCCTTCTGCATTTTAGCCCGGAGCGGTCCGTCACGGAGTCCCAGTCGCCTCAGATGACCCGAGAGGCTGACTGGGATTAGCCCATTCGCAGAGACGACTACAGGAATAATTTCGGTCGACACACCACCCCACATGTCGGTCACCTCGTAAGCCAGGTCCAGATATTTTGTTTGTTTATCTGTTTCGGCTTTCACGAGGTTCTCGTCATACGGAATGGTAATGTCGATCAAAAATATCCTTGACTGTGCCCGGCCCATCAGCACAATATCAGGCTTATGCGCAAGAATAGTCCTGTCTGTGATGATGGCCCGGTCCCAGTAGAGCCCGGCGCGGTAATTTTCGAGCACGGCTTCTGGTAAGTACATGTAATACGGCAATTTCCGCTCCACGAGACCGTATTTCAGAGCGAGCTCCTGGTGTAGAATTCTGGCTACTAGGTTGTGCCTGTGCAAGTACTCAGAGTTAGAAAGAGCCGAAAAACCGGAGATGACATGCCTAAGTGACTCATCGGGATGGCGACAAGCTCGATAGACGTTGACGGTGCCATCCTTTAGGATGTATCTCAGATAGTTGTTGGTCTTAATAACCTGATCCTGTATTGCACAGACAAAACCCTTGGTTTCCTCGAAAAGGTCACCGAAACGTAGCCAGTTGAGGGAGGCGACTGTATCTACGAAGGGCTCATGTAGAGCCCTGTAGTACCTCCCATGGAGCTCCTTCTCCTTCCATACGGTCTCCCGGTCGGAAATGCTCTGTACTGCCATGTCTTGCCATTGCTCGTTGGCTAAGGATAGAGGGGTAAGTCCTTTATCTAATGATTTCTTAAATTTACGCGAACACTACACATTGAATAAAACTAAATTTACGGATTTTATCGCATTTATTTCACTACTTTTACTTATTTTTAATTCCCGACGTTTAGGGTGCTTTACAGCAACTATGGTCACGGGGGGGACTGAGATGTTTGACGTCCCAATGTCATAGTTAGTCCGGCTACCTTCAGTTTTTGAATATTAATTTTTTTAATTTTTTTAAAAAATCGGACCAAAAATGATCGATGTGACGATCGATGTTGCATCCTATGGGACGTCACTGTAGTGCGGACTTTTCTATCCAGGGCGTTAAGTACAGTCTGACTCCACCTGAGTATGCCAAAGGTATACATGAGGACAGGCATGACCCAACCGTTATATGCATGTCTCTTATTCACACCGGACAAAAAGCTGTTAAGCACTTTGGTCAAGCGTGCCTAAAACACGTCGCAAACTGACTGTTTCATACCAGCCTCATCGATACCGATGTTCTGTGACATACCCAGGTATCGGTATGTTTCAGCCTCGGAAAGGGCCCTTAAGTTGACGGGCATAGAGAAGTCTATGCCCTCAGAGTTAGCAACCCTTCCCCTTTCAACGTACCCCTCCTTCAATCTAAAATTTACAATTTAAGAAATGAATAAAAAACTACCCTTCCGTCCCCCTTCAAAAAATACCCTTATCCTTATCCTTTCCACATCCGCTCGCCCAGATGACAGAGGATCGTACTCCACTGCCCCATACACTGCTCGAGGAAGTCTCGAACTGTACAGTCAATCTTGTGCAGCTCGAGGACCCTCTTTAGCCATGTATGGGGCACCGAGTCAAATGCCTTTCTGTAATCTATCCAAGCGGCGGAGAAGTTCCGACGGTTGCGTTTCACCACTTTGCCAATGACCGCGTCAATGAGGAGTGGTTCCTTGGTTCCACGACCGCCGCCCCGACATCCATTTTGAGCGCGCGACATCACCTGATTTGAGTCCAGGCTCAAAATGGATGTTAGTGTCTTGTATATAGTCGATAGACACGTGATGGGGCGGTATTTGCTCGGGTCAGTGGTATCCTGATCTTTAGGAACCAAATGAGTGATCCCAGTAGTGAAGAGGCTTGGGAGCGACTTCTGGTTGAGAGCCTCTTGAAACTGTCGGGCGAGCACAGCGTGACACACCATGAACCCCTTCAGCCAGTTGTGATGCAGCCCGTCAAGCCCCGGACTTTTCCAGTTCGGGGCCCTACGGACCGCCTCAGCTACGTTATCCGGCGTTATGGTGACGGGATCCATGGGCGTAATACCCGCACACTGATTTACCACAACTTCCGTCCAAGGGCCCTCGTTGTGGTTTACGGGCTCTGACCACAGGCTGCGCCAGAATGCGAACGGTGCTGGGCCCGTTCCACTTACTATTGGTCGCTCCAATGATTTGTAGAGCCTCTTCTGATCACTCTGGAAGAGACGATTCTGGTTGAACCGTGTCGACCTCTCGGTATATCGCCGAATCCGCTTTCCTCAAGCAGCGATTCTTTGCTTCAGGTCGTCTATGCGCGCCGTCAGTTTTTGCGTTATATCCGGCTGGGACAAACTAACATTTTTCCCAGCTAACGCCATCCTGACTGTGCGCACAATCCTTGGCCTGGTATTGCCTTACCTGAAGCATATCAGACTGCCGATGAGGGCCCTAGCCCTTGCGATACGTTCCTCAATTCTTCTTCTCCATGCTGGGATAGCGCTACTATGGCCAGTAGCGCGTCCAGCCGTGGAAACCTTGGTGCCTATGATACGGCAGACTGCCAACGCGGCGCCAAAAAGAATTGAGTCCGTCTCGCAAAGGTCTCGGCTGGCTTCCAAACAGGTCACCAGCATTGGGTTCAGAGCCCTCACGACAGCCCCGTTCCGTTTGCTTAGGGCTATGCGGGGAAGTCGCGGTCGATTTTCGAGAGGCATACTGCGTGTTTCCACAATCGCCTCCTCCAATGTACTCCTCATTTGCTCTAGTTCCAGTTCCTGGGCGACTGTTCCGTCATCGTTTGAATCAACCACAACTGGCCTATTCACGGCGGCATCCACATTTGCCGTTTGCTCAGCAAGTTGTGGCGCCGCATCCTCAGCCGCAGCATTTTCACCCGATGAAGGAACAGCCTCACGTCGTAGCCGTTCGAGTTCGGTGACATCAAATGTATTTGAGCGCAAGATATACCAAACTCGGTCTGCCAGGTTTTGCTCGGTGACGGTTACAGATGGCTCCAGCTCAGCAAAAAGTCGATGCATTCTTGCCCGATACGTAAAACCTCCAGTTTCTCCCCGTTTCGCCCTAAAATACGCCCGCAATGCGTTGCTGTTCATCTAGGTTGTCCAACGCATGCGGCGTACTCCATCAGTGGCGGATGCCAATTGCAGGGCCCGCGAAGACCCTGCCGACACCAAACCAGCTGGTGGGGATGATGGATGCGAGGGGCTGCTGGGTGGTCGTGCAGCACCTACCTTATTATTATTATTATTATTATAAGTGTAAAGTATTATTATATTAAGTACAGACAGTGATGTGACCAAATTTGTGCACAGGGTAACAAAAATTCACTCGTCAAGCAAAGTTCGTAAATTGTAAAATATATACGCTAATAATATGTAATTCAATGAAAACACTATCTTAAAACTTTCCATATAAAGGAAATTCAACAAGAAAACGAATTACATTCTCTCCTTTTATGTTTATTTTAAACAATATGTTTTGAAAATTTGACTTAGACAGGGGAGAATAAATTCAATAAGTGCTTCACTGCTGAAATGGAAGATTTTTCAAGATATTAAATCAGAAAATCTATGGTATCAATTTCAATGAAGAATATGTGATTCTTATATAATATACAATATGTAATCAAACCTGGTCCGATTTATAAAGGCGTTTTAGATATCTTGATATTATAATTCTCTACATGATATAATATGCTATGTTCTATACAAAAATAAATGAAAAAAACCTGCAAACAATAAAACAAAATTACGTCTAATGAGAAAACTGTTATGTCAATATTTGCAGCGTGTGCTGCTGTCGGCTAAAAATACTGCACATTACGGCGCCAGCGACGGTGTTGCCCGGTTGAATATTGCTATAATAATTGTGTTTGTGTTGTAAAACCATGTATTTTATTTTATTATAACATAATAATCATTAATAATATAATGATCTTTAATTATTTAAGGTAATATTGTATTTTCGCTTTTCTTTCGGATATGGATTTCCCTTCGGATTTCCCTTTCGTATCGATCATGTGACCATGGCTAAATCAATATCCATAAAACACGACAAACTCCATAAATTTTGTGAACAATATTGTCACACGATTAAAATCGCGAGTATTATTAAGCAATTGCTTTTGTCTCATATAAGAGTTTAAATTTAGCGTTATTCTATAAATGAAAACCTAATTCAAAAGAAATACTGAACAGAAATACTCAACTGCAGAAATTCGTATCTCGCTTTGAAAGTGAAGAAAATATCAGAACGACATTTTTAAAGCGCGTGCTCAATGTTCAATAACATTCTGTTATTGAGTCAGGTTAAAGGAATTACCAAAACCGTTTCACGTGAACATAGTTATTGGATACTGTTAATCATAAAATCATCGTCATCTTAATCTTTGTTTATCTATTAAATTTACTACTGATACCTCATATTTGAGAATTTATATAAAAGAATTAAGGTGACAAGTGAGAAAACAATCCACCTGATGGTGTGGCTAATAGACATCTACATCTACCCTAGATTAAGAATCAAAATGCAGATGCATTGTCACCCCCGAGGACCAAGATGGAATGGCTCGTTTCCAGAGTCTCCGGTTCACTGCACTCACTATACAAAACACAACAGCATTAAGCTGATTTTGTACGCTAGTATACTGTAAGAGCGTGGTCCTACCATTGTCGAGCGGACCTATTCGTTCTGCTGCCATAATAACAGCAGCAGCATAGCTATACCACGTTAAAGAAAAATAAGTTTTCACAATTTTTAAGAAAACTAAGTATTTAAAAACTAATAGATGTAGATTACTCTTTATATAATTAACAACTAGTATATTAAAACAAAGAAATAAAGGTGGCTTCGTGTCGAAGCAGCTTAGCAATGAGATAAAGCACAGTGGGCCACGGGTTCGAATCCCGCACGGGATTCATCAATTATTAGGTATTAGATATTTGTCGTTGTGCAATTTATGTTTATAAGTTTATAACATAGACTCATGGAGGCAGTTGCCGCCACGATACAGGTGAAAATTCTAGTGCGGGATGACGTTTAGAAAAACGTTTATTAAAGATGTAAAAAAATTAAACCGAAACTTCTTCTGTTTTATTTCTCTCTAACGCCTTCTACGACATCCGTAGAATGATATGGGGTTATTACACTGCCGTTAGGTGACGCATTTTATATACCTATGTAGCAGCCAGATTAATCAAACCTAAACGGGAATAAATAATATATACTCCGCTGCTACCATAACGCGGAAGGCGAGAATAAATAAAAAAACATTTTATTTCCTAATTATTCTTGGCTACTGAGATACTGCGGACTGTATATAGATAATTTGACGTTCTTATAAAGAAACAAGAAGCAGCCGCAAATATCATTCAGCGCCACACCGACTTCACACGCCGCTATCGTCACGTATCCGTCGACCAATGGTGAGCCGTTTCTTCAACGCCGCAGTTCGTTTCCTCTTGCTGTTCCGGAGCTGTATTCCACACCGCCGCCGCCCGCCGACTACGCGTGCGCACCGATCTGCATGTCTTATATAGCCCGGTCCAGCGACGTAGCTTCGTGAACAACAAACAAGTCTCACGCCGGGAAACGAAACGTAGATAATTGTATATTTTAAATAGTTTTCATTGGTCATAAAATAAGCAATATAATTGGCTAGGCAAAATATTAATTGTTACCATTGGCAAATCAATAGTGAGCCAGCCATATAAATATAGGCAAGGTTGATGCAAAAGATATTCCATTCCGAATCCCATTCGTCAGTACATTCTAAATTCATACTCCGCTTTGCTTATAAACAGTAGTTTCATTTCTCCCCTTAAAGAAAACCACTCGGAGTCTGTTAATAGTGGACAGTTCGTCTCCACTATTACAGTGGTGACCCCGTACGAACACCGAGGGGGGAAGATCCGGTACGAACACCAAGAAGGAACACCCTGCGACGTACCACTACTATTGCACGAACACCGCGAAGGAAACCCGTACGAACACCGAGAAGGAAGACTTCAGTTTATATAAAATCAGTGTAATCAAGCCGTCATTATGGAGCAGGAGGCAAACACATATACATCAAACCCGGTAAAGGAACCAGAAATCGCCGGTATATCTCTATCGTTAAGAATACCACCGTTTTGGAGAGACAAACCACGACTTTGGTTCGTCAGTTTTGAAGCCGCAACGAATGGTTTAAAGAAGAGCCAAGCGCAATTAGCACAGATGGTGATAGCCCAACTTGAGAAACAAGACATCGAACAAATTGCGGACCTGTTGTACAACCCACCAGCAGTCGACCAGTATAATTCACTGAAGGATCGTCTGATCTCCGCATATGAAGAATCCGACAGTCGACAGCTACAAAAACTTCTATCAGAAATAGAACTTGGAGACCAGAAACCCACACAACTCCTACGCAAAATGCGTACCTTGGCGCGAGATAAAGTTCCGGATTCAACACTACGGCTAATGTGGGTAAACCACCTACCACCACATATTCGATCGGTAATAGCAGTCAGCGAAACATTCAGCACGCAGACGAAGCTCGACGAACTGGCACTCCTGGCGGACAAGATGATCGAAAACAGCAGTAGCTCACACATATCGATCATCGAAGGCATTTCAACAAAGGCCAATGATACCCAGTTTCTTCTCGAAGAAATTCGGAAGCTATCATTCGAAGTCGCCGCGCTCAAAGCTTCCCAGCATCATACCTTTTACCAGCAACAGTACAACCAGCGCAATCAGCAACACCGAAGATCACCTTTTCGTCGCAACCGCTCTGCAAGTAGAAGTCGAATAAGCTCAACATCAAGATCCCCTTACTGCTACTATCATCGACGTTTCGGGGTCGAGGCAAGAAAATGCACAGCACCGTGTACATTCAAAAATGAAAATACGAATACGGAAAACTAACTAGTACGCTCGATGCGACGGGATCCAGCGTAACAGCAAAGTCCTACCGTCTTTTCGTCACCGATAAAAAAAGCAAGCTTACTTTCCTTATCGACACCGGAGCAAATATCTCAGTGTTACCGCCGAAGCAAGGACAGAAGTTGAAGCCACTAGATTTTCAACTCTATGCAGCAAACAATACGGTTACTCCTACATATGGAGAAAAAACAATGGAACTTGATTTTAATCTACGCCGACCATTCAAATGGAGATTTATCGTCGCTAAAGTCAGCAAACCAATCATCGGTGCTGATTTTCTTCAACATCACCAGTTGGTCGTCGACATCAAAAATAGAAGAATCATCGACGGGAAAACCAATCTTGCATCTCAGTCTTTTGTACAAGCAACCAATCTGCCCACAATAAGGAGCATAGATGTGCAACAACCGTATCACAAGATCCTCGAAGAATACCCTGGTATCACAAGAATAACTTCAATGAAATTAACACCGAAGAACGACGTTGAGCATTTCATCGACACCAATGGACCACCACTTCATTGTCGTGCACGTCCAATCGCACCACACCTATACGAGCAAGTTCGAAAGGAATTCGAAAACATGATTGAGCAAGGAATATGCCGTCCAAGCAAAAGCCCTTGGTCATCACCACTTCACATTGTACCGAAGAAGAACGGAGAATTACGAGTTTGTGGAGATTACAGAAGACTGAATTCTATTACCACTCCTGACCGCTACCCAATACCGCGAGTCAGGGATTTCACTCATCAACTATCAGACAAGACTATATTCTCCACCATCGATCTCAACCGAGCTTACCAACAAATAAGAGTCCGCGATGAAGACATAGAGAAGACAGCAATAATTACCCCAATGGGATTATTCGAATTCCCAAGAATGATCCCAGGATTAAAGAACGGAGGTCAAACTTTCCAAAGATTCATACACGAAGTACTTCATGGACTGGATTTCGTTTTCGCATTTATTGATGATCTCCTTGTTGCAAGCCCTGATAAAGAAACGCACGAAACCCATCTACGCACCGTGCTACAGCGATTAGAAGACAACGGAATCACAATCAACCCTTCGAAATGCATATTTGGACAGCA